AATTATGTCCCTTCCAGGGCATCAAATTTCTATTTTTGACCAGTTCAAAAGTGTACCACATAAAATTTACGATATTTGTTGTTGTGAGGTGCGGATGAGCGCTACGTCATTGACGTTCTGGTTTATCATATTGAATTGCGTTATGCAGGCGAGACCGCCGAGAGCGTTTCCCTTGTTGTGTTTCTTGTGAACATTTTGAGCTGCTGGCCTAATGGGTAGTTTGTTTATTTCTTTATCTTATTGAGCCATATTGGCATATTATTTTGTATTTCCAGTCAGTTATCTCTTTCTTTCTTGAATTAAATGTTTAAAATCTTTTGCTCTGGACTGCTTTTCATTTCCAGATGGTTCAACTAAATCAGTTTCAGTTACTTCTAAGTTGTCGGGTTTACTGCCAAAGAATCATCCTTATGCCATTTTTATGTAGGATAATAGCCCATATAGATGTACAGTAGTTAGATTAGGAAATCTCAGTTTAATATTGTAAATGATTAATTGTTTAGAATTTTTCACAAATATCACATCCGAAAGGTATACAGCAACCTACTTTGTTAATGATATCAACCATTAGCAGACCCTTGTGATAAGTTTCCATGATATTTGTACCAGTATTGCGCACTGTTAAAAGGGTCATAAAGGTTTGTTGTGAATAGTAGTCCAGTAGTATAACTCCATTGATAGTGGTTGACTAGGTCTGGTGAATAGAGAGAAAGAGAGAGAGAGAGAGAGAGAGAGAGAGTATGGTGCTCCCTCCCTCCAAACAACTGGCTTTCAATAGGACTTAGTATTGATGCCTCTGCTGGCGCCACTATTCCATTCCATTGCATTGGCTGTGTCTCCCCTCGTTTCCTCAATTAGATAGTAGTAGTGACAGTCTCAATGAAGTACCTTCTCTGCTAGCCCCCAGGGCAGTCAAACCAAGATATATTCCATAAATATTTCCTTTGTTTATCTTGCATAGATTGCTATTGAAAGTTCGCAAATGGTTTTAGTGATTTTGTGATACATAGATTTTTATTATTTTTTCAACAATACATACTATACATGTATTTAAGTCAAATTTTTCATGAAAACATTTTTGGAGTTTGACAGAGACTCAAATAATCGTTGAGTTGTTGTTATTGCGATAACCCAGGTACTTCTCAAAGATGCTTGTATACATTGTCATGTCAGCTCTCTTTGACATGTTTTTAAATCTGCAACTTAATAATTCGTGGAATTTTTTTAAATGAAACCCTCCTGAAATGCAGCATATCTCAGACTGTTAGCTCAACTTGTGACTCTTGTATCATATATATCAATTGAATTCAATATAAGACTTGTATATCTAGTGTAACAACCTAACATTGAATATTAGAATATATATTTCCCATTATTTCTGGTACAATCTTTAGTCTAGAAATAAATGAGATAGTTAATTAGATATCCCATATTTTTTAATATGACAAAGTAATCCATAAATCAAATTTCAACACCACACAATATTTTCACCATTGTACTGACATCACAAACGGCAACGTTGTCTAGGTTTCATGGCAATGATACACTTTCAAATGGTCAATGACTCTCCTTTATCTAGGGGAAGAGTCTTCATATTGTAACCATTTTATATATTGCCTGAAGGAATCGAACAATAGTGGTTTTGAGGTTTCTAGAAAACCAACAAGCACTTCTGTGATGGTCATTAATTTAGAGAGTTTGACACACAAAGCTTTCATGTGAATGTATTAAGATACCCAAGACTGATTATTGAATATTAATGCTCCCATCTCATGGCTCAGGCAGTCAGTCTGTCTGTCTCCGCTTTGCTTCTATTCCTCTCTCTCTTTCTTTCTCTCACTTTGCCCTATATTCATTGATGGAGAGTGTAGCTAGGAGCGATCATTGTTCTATTGTAACATTTCCGGTGCCGGCAGACGAGCGAGTGTGATCCTAACATTATGGTCTTCATTACCAACTACAAAGATCTTGCAAGGAACATGATATCTGAGCTGCCTCAAATATCATACCATTTCCATTCCATATTTGGTTATCTGAACTCTGAAGATTGTCAGTAGATTTGATGTACATGTAGACTCACATCATTCATCAGGTAGCTTCCGTATGACTTGACTAGAGTTGTGAGAAACTGAGAATTGGATATCTTCATTGCAAATCGAAACAGCATTCAAAGGACTCAGAAACTTTGAATACATAGATGTATGTGATGGATCTTATGTGGATAAGTGTGATTTATCTTCATATTTCTTTTATTTTGGTGGTTTCATTACCTACTCAGTCATCTGACAGTAAGTAGAAGATAACAACTTTTAATAGGTATTCATTTCAATTCAAATCATTGCCGAAAAATCATATTCTGGTTCTAATTTGATGATGATATTGACACCTATCTCTCTTTTTGTTTGTTTTTAATGTTTTATTTTTTATTTTTTTAAATATGGACAGTAACTGTAGTTGTACAGGTGTCAGGTGTTCCTTGATGGTGCCATAGAACCATATTATTGTGTGTTATATTCAGTGTAGGAATCATTTGAAAGTATTAATTGTGACGATATGATGTAGGAATGAAGGGATGGATGGTAACTTGGATGGATGGATGTGAAGAGAGGAAGAAAGTTGAGCTTGTATGGTGTGGTTGTGTATGCACAGGTGGTGCTGCTTCACAACCTATCTAGGTCATGTTTGAGAAGTAAACCCTCCCATCATTCATAGAATACATATCCATCATTCAACACAATGTAATGGGCTTGATGACAGGAGCTTATCGCTACAATGTAGTCCCATCTACTTTAAAGGATTGGTGTCTTTTATGACTGCAATATGTAGTCCTATCTATGTGGACATGTACGTTAAATGACTTCTGACTTGTATTGCTAACTGCATGTATTCCTATCTTCTATTATGTTTGCAGGCTCTTATAGGTATCAGTCTGCTCAGTTAGATAGCCTGTGAAATTTGTACTCTGGTTTTATCAGATGTTTCAAATTGGGATGGAATAGCATATATATAGGCCTACACTAAAAAAATGACTAGAAATAAGCAATAAAAGGAAACAAGCTACTTGGTTTACCTGTTGTGTGCATATAATTAAGTATAGTTTGTGTCATTGTTAGGCATAACTACATGTAAGCCTTCTGTGTTTCATACGTTTATGCTGAAGCAGGAAAATACAATTAGTGATGTATTCCTTTAACAAGCATACTACAAAGTAGTTTCCTTGGGATGTTTATGAGGGTAATGTTTGCACATCTTTGTCTGTCTATACACTCAAGATAATACAACTCTGTTCAGCTTTCATTTGGCTATACAGGGGGACAAATGAGGAAAAGTATTCTACAAATACACCATGTTGAATCAAGGGGTCTAAATGGTGTTTGTTAGGTCTTGACCTTGGTCCTCTATGATGTGTGTACTGATCAAACTCAAACTTACCCTCTCTCAATCAGATCTAAATCATGTTTAGAGTTATGTTTTCGTTACCTTTGGAAATCAAACGCTACATGAATCACGTTTTAATGTTGTATTTATTTAGAAATGGGAACTAAGAAAAGAAATTTCATATACACCCAAATTACATTAAGATACTGAAAGAAAGAGAGCACATTGTCTTTAACTCCCACAGGTCATCAAGCAAGACTTGAAGCTAGCAATAAAAACTCAATTTAATCATTTTACATGTGATCTCCGAGAAATTGTATGTTGCAGGTTTACAGTAGATCAAGAGGATAAAGAAGATAATCTAAATTGACCCTAAAAAAGGTGTAGTATTGCAATAAAAAGCAGAGTATTAGACAAGGACTAAAGTATGTGTCTGAACACAGAGTAACCTGTTTGCCGGGACTAAAGTATGTGTCTGAACACAGAGTAACCTGTTTGCCAGGACTGCTCCGATTCTCTCACACCTTGGTTGCTGAGTTCCTGTGTAAATTGAAAGCTTCAACCAATCAGGGCAAACCTTGAATAGTCTTGTATATCAGACCTGATTTCAGTCCTTGGAGGTCACTCTGAGATTCAAAGCAGTATTCTTGCTCTCTTCACATTGGCTTTTACCATATTTTTTTACCATATTTTTGAGCAAGATATTGAGAAGTGTTGCGATAGGAATTTCAAGTATACACACATACATGTATGTACATTAAAGGTAAAGACCAGTATTGGAAACGCCCCAATTTCAAAAAATGAAATGAAAGCTCTCATTACCAATCATGTGAAAGAATATGTTTTGACTAATACATGATGATAAAAAATTTGCCGGAAACCGCCTACTAATTCATATATTTGGTAAGTTTGTTTCTCTCATGGTCTGTGAGAGATATACATGTAGGGTAGTTCCATATACATCTTTCTGTGTATAGTGCTTGTAACTTTACGAAGACTGGGCCAAATTTCTTATCATTTTGATGATTCCAGAACCTTGCAGATGCTAGATGCTAGATGATTAACCTTTTCTGATAGATTCCACAATGTTTCTTTCACAATGCAATCGCATGACCATAACTGGTCTTTACCTTTAATATTATCAATGAAGTAAAACACACCTGTTTAAATAGTTTATAATGCTAAATTTTATTTTTTAGGTCTATTTGTCTAATATATGTTTGAAAATACTGTTAATAACCAAAATAATCCGCACAGCAGCACCAGGACCATCTTTTCTATAGAATGCTAACAATACCTGTAATTGTAGTGATAACTTTTCACTACCCTCCTATGGTATATTGATTGATATAGGGTTGTTTGTAATTTTAGAGAGCTGGGATCTCCATGTACATGTACATCTACAATATACAATTCCCTCTACCTCTACAATGAAAAGTGTAGAGAAATAATTAAAATATACATGTACATTGTACATGCACATGTAGTTAGATATGACTAGGCCTGTAGTATTCCCTAAGAAAGGTAGGCCTAATTCAGCCTTGGTGGGTCTGCATGTTGTAGACTAGTTGTAATGAATAAGGAGAGTGTATGGCCAGCCAGTCATGTCATTGTGAGGAAGGGACCAGTTAGTGAGTTAGCGAGGGTTAGGTCATTCATTCGGTCCCTCATTCAGTCTTAGTAGAGCAGAGCATGGCACTTGTTTGCAGGTTCTATCCTATGGGAGTCTGCCCTCTTTCATAATTTCTCAGCTTTTATCTGAATTTCTACCGAGGATTTTTACCCCTTTTGGATTTACAATCATGAGTTTGCCTGGTCATCTTACAGGTGGTGAGTTACAGCAGTTTTCTTTGTGGTGTTCTTGGTCTTTTAATTAGCAGTATATTATTTCCTGTATGTTCCAGAAGTGAAAGTGAAAGTGGTCTACAAGCAAAATCAGGCCCTTTTCCAGGAATTGTCATACATCTGAAATCAAAGTTTGTGGATATCCTGATCAAGTGTATGGCATACATGTAGGCTTGTGGAAACAAAGAAACAAAAAATGACAATTTAGCTATCAAATACATAGCAGACATAAATCATATAAAATTGTTATTTTTAAAATATTCTTTGGGTTTTGTTGTTGTTTGTGTAATTTTTGTTATTATTTTCATGTAATGCCTAATGGAACCACTTAGCAGGTTTGATGAATAATTCATTTTGATTTTAAACATTTCAATTTTCATTTACATGTATTTTTAATGAATAAAGATGCACAAATGCGCTTTGAGATATTCCATTTCTTTCGGTTGTGAAATGTTAACTAGTTAGATCAAAGAGAATCCATGAAGCCCTTCAGAGGGAAAAGATAATGTATTGCCTGGATTTTGCTCTTAGGATTGGTTTAATTGCATTCCATATCTTCTTCCCCCACCTGACAAGTGCACACCCTTTTGGGTTTGAATCCTAGAGGATTTCTAGCATTCTTCCTGACCTCCTCCCAACTAATGAAGAAAAAAAGGATTTAGTTTGAGAGCTTTGATAGATCCATATCCACCCACTGGCTGGTGATAGGGTGCAGTCTCAATCCCTGCTAAGTTAAGATATCAAAACTACATTGCGCAGCGTTGTTTGTACTCGAACTTCGATCCCAACTTTCTGCACTTGAAGATCTGGGGATAAAACTGTAGGAGGAAGATTGATGAAGGAATTCCCTTGTATGGTGATTTAAAGGAGATGTTCTTCTACAAAGCTAGATGAATAACTTAGAATCTGAACTTGTCAGGAGCTTACTTTCCATGCCTTTCTGCTTTGATTGACAAAGCTGTTTATGGGTTGTTTTGTGAAAAGTTTCTTTTGTATTCAAATGTTGGCTTGGCTTAAGTGAGCCAGAAGTACTTTAGCAAGATGGGTCTGATGAGATAAGTGTAATCCTCAAAATATATGTTTTTCTCAAACTTTCAACAACAAAATAATAATTATCCTGAAGAAGAAAAAGGGCTAATTTGGCAGGGTACATTAGCTACATGTTTTTCTGTATTCCTGATAACAATATTGTCCTCAGACACTGTATTTGGAACTCTGTTAATTTCTTAGCAAGCCTGCTTACTGTGTCCCTACTTGATATAGAAGAGCCTAAATGCCCAACTGTTTACATTGTATGTATATTGGAATACAAACTAGATGTTAGCAGGACAAAGAAATAAGGAATGTATATATTTCAATGATTTACTGGTACAGTATGGATAATATTGACTTAATTTAAGCATTTAAGGTAAATCACTTCCAATGCAAATGCTACATACATGTACTGTACATGTACACATACTGTAGGAAGATGTAATTTTCCTCATTTAAGAAAAATAAAAGTTGAAGTTGTATTGTTTTTTCATACTTTCAAGTCACTGCTCCAAATTTGAAACAGTTGACACCTGAATTAATCTTTTCTTTTTAAGTTGTAATACAAAATTGTAGGCTTGCAAGCACATGTATTTTACAAGCAGATACGCTTTTGTACCAGTAACTACATTTGTATGTGTTAATGATGGTTACCCTGTTAATAGATAACATGAGATGTAGGTACTAGCCTTCCTGTCTCCTGTAATTTATTACATAATTCACCATACTGTATTTCATGTGATCATTTAATGATCACATCATGTATTGTTATTTTTTATATATACATGTATGTTTGTTGTAAAGCGCATTGAAATGTCAACAGACATGAAATGCGCTATAAAAGAACAAAGTATTATTATTATTATTATTATTATGAAGATGTATGTATAAAAATAAAAATAAGCACAAGGAGTTATCGTACCATACATGTAATTTTTGCTGGCAGGGTCCTTGTCAATTTTGATAGAATTTGATAGAAGAGTTAAGTTTTTATTGAAGGTTGCAGGCAGCAACAGGGATATCAAATGTTCATCATAAATGTATTATAATACTTGTGGCATATATTACAAGAGGGGACACAAACGGTCATGCTATATTCATACAATCAGATTTATAGACACATGTAAACCCAAGCCTTTTATTAAGTCAAAGCAGACCGGGAGCCAAATATCTGAAAAAGCGGCTCCCGGTCCTTATTTTTTTTAGAGAACCGGGAGCCGTTTTCCAGGACCAGGAGCCGTTTCCAAAATTGATGAAAATATGTACCGTATTCTTTTAAATTATTTGTTAAACGTTACCTTTTATTTATACATACGGTAGTTTAATTTCTAGTTTAAATTTTGAGCACTCTAATATTAAATCACTCATACCTTAGATAAATCTGTCATTTGTAGTTGTTGTAGTTCATGTTTAATACTATTTTCATGCCGTTAAATGTCAAAAATTTAAAAATGTTGGGAAGGGGGGAATTAAATTATTTCTATAAAAAAATATTTAAGAAAAACCAGATCTATAATGACAATGCAGAGCTTCCAACCTGTCGCTTTCAAAAAAACATATTATTCAGCTTGAAAAAACATATTTTAGGTGAAAAAAAAAGATTATGCCTGTTTTACGTTTTTGTTATATTCCCTATAAAATGCTATTGCATTCATGTTTCTTTGAATAAAAACGAATTCAATCATTGAGAACGGCCGATCTGTCACTTAAAAAAAAAAAAAATAATAATAATAATAATAATAATTAGAAAATTTAAAAAAAAAGATTTGTTAAATATATTTACCTATTTTATCAGAAAAGTCCATTATTCAAAACATCACAGAATTTTAGTCAATGAGTACGAGGGCCGCTGAATCAAGGCAAGTCTGGAGTTGCAATCAACTTTGTACATAAAGTCAATGCATCAGCAGATCCGGTGTTTTGATTTTCATTTGCCTTTTTGAAGATACCATTACATTCGAAGGGCATGCGATAGGCCAAAAAACTGGTAACAAAATCGCTGATTTCTTGATTTTTAGCGCTATTTTGATGAAACTGTTTCTTAAAACTGGGCTTAACCCCCGTGAGCTTTGGAAATATGGCTCCAATTCCGCATTTTTGACAGCAAAATTTGGCTTTTGGGATGGATTTTTGGAAGTTACATCGAGACTTTCTTGTACTAACACTGTGTGTGAACTGCAGTACAGCACTGATGTCATTTGTGTGTGTATGCATGGCCTGGGCTGGGGAAATGCCTCGTCTTTGAGTGGTGTACATCCCATGTATTGTGTGCTCCGTTCTCCGCTAGGAGTAGGAAATAGCGGCCGCTCGTATTCGGCAATTGTTTCTGGGCGATTTTAATTAGGATTCTCATTATAATGATTAGTTAGGGTTCATTCTGTCCACGTTTAACTTGTATCAAGTAAGTTTTTGTCACATTTGTGAACATTTAGTGCTAGACATGTGGAAGTTTATGAAACAGAAAATGTTAATTCTCCCAGACCGGGCGCCAGAAATAAAAAATGACCGGCGCCCGGTACTCATTTTCCCCGTCTTACCGGGCGCCAAAAGTCAGGGACCGTAGGGTAAAAATCGCCCGGCGCCCGGTTAATAAAAGGCTTGTGTAAACCTGTAGCTTGTAAGATATTATTGAAATGGCAGGGACAATATAATAACCTTCCTGTATCAAAGGATTAAAGTTGATGAAGATTTTACAAAGGCATTATTAAAGTGTTAGCTCGATCCATGGTCTTCTTTTCTGCTTCATGCCTGGTTCAAGTTTATGCGCATATTTATCCATCTGTCCTAGCAAACTTACCCTGTAGGGGGATTTGAACACCCAGTAAGTAAACTCTCCTAATTGCGTCTTTCATCGAGGGACTTCTCTCTCTCAAGCTGTGTTCACAACATAATAGCCTTTTTTCAAGCGTTGTGTCTCCTAACACAGTATTAAAACACTGTAAGGATGGGTCTCGGTCATTATGGTGTAAAGAAATACATTGGGTGAAGAACAGAAAATATTGAGATCAGCTTAAGAAGAGAAGAACAAACAACAAATATAAATTTACTCTGAAAAGATTTTTTTAAAAATCAAATGAACAAAATAAAAAACAAAGCTGTTCATACCTTTTTTTAACATATCCTGTAAAGAGAATTTTGTCAGCATTTCTGTTGAAAAAACATGAGACTGCTCATTACCGGTATGTTATTGTGCGTGTCATTGCACTATAACTGACATATGAACAATGTGCATCATTGTGACTCACATAAATGTACAATGAAGATACAGTTTGGTTTTCAGTGGCCTAGCTTTCAGGCAGAAATAGTTTATCCTACTCATTGACAAAAAATGCTGAATTTGGACAAAAGGAGGTATGGGGGATAGTCTATGGATTCCAGACTAGGTAATTCTTGTATAATTACCATGTATCATATGGGGGAGGGGGGGGGGGGGGGGGAGTGGTTAGTAATTCATCTTTTCCTATCTTACATATAAGTTAGATGAGCTTTCCAACTAATACCTAGTAGTGCTTACTACAGGAAATCTTCTTCTTGAAACCCATCCAATTCTTTATCCGCATGTACCTGTACATGTACATGTGCATAGGCCCTGTATGTACATGTATTTCCTCATAATGCATATGGAAAGGAATCTGAAAGACAGTACCAGTTAATTTGTATATTATAGTAGACGTTACATCCTTCTTCCTCTAATCAGACGCTAGTGTCATTGTACATCAAGTCTTTCTTCATGTAGTTTTAGTTTAGCAATCTTTTGTTTCTCATTCATATTGTTTTAGAAACGGTTTTGCACTCATACTGCAGGCATTATGATAGATAGCCTGTACACATTGGCCTCTGAACATTATGCATATTCCTCAGTAATTGCAGCAATTGAGTGAAAAATCAATACTAATTTTCAACATTTGATCAATATTCCATCATGACATGAATGTATTTAATATCCATCAAAA